CATGTACTGTAACCAACACGCTCTTATTAGAAAAATGAAACTGCTACATAAAATTTAAAACCAATGAGGTACACCAACACCTTGCATCCTGCTTTGCGTGTGCAATTGATGCCAAGAAAATCTATACATATAAAAGCTTTCTGCCATTTAAAAGGAATATCTAGAGACATCTGTATGCAGTTAATAAGTATGTATGTAGCCCAACCTTCCCTCTCAGTTGTTGTCACAAAGTGCAATCTTGTTCCGTCTGAACCCCCTATTATCTTATACAGACGAACCTACATAAATTCAAACAAGAATAAAATGAATGAAGTATCAAATCATGATTACCTAAGGGAAAGGCATCAACGACGTCAAGTAACTCTTACCAGACCACATTCATCACCAACAGCTAATCGTAAAGAAACAGAACAAAAATCCAATGCTGATACTGTTGCACTTGCAACTGTAGATCTGATGCCTTTTACCTTCATTCACATTAAACAAGATAAATTGAATTTCTTAAGTTTATTCTCAAGCACTCCATTAAATGATAACAAGTAATATTAACATATAAATGTCTATGAGGATTACCAAAGTTTGTGACAGCATACACACCTCAGATCCTAGAGCACAGATAAGTGACAGAGCTGGATATGTGGCATCCCATATTCGAACCGATCCATCTTGGTATCCTGCTACATATACTCTCTCAACATGATAATTTTCAGCATCATTAAGCTGGCTGGGAACACCACCAGTCAAAGGCCACTTTGTACCGCCAGTCGTTGAAGTGTCCTCCGCATTAATCTTTCCAACTAAGATTTGCTTAATGACCAAAGACATAAAAAGTTAACAAATACAGAAAACAGGGAAAATAAAAAGGAGTTGAATTTTGATCAGAAACTCAAGCATATATACCACTTGAAGTTTTCCATCTGAGACAATCTCATTAAACTTAAAAGCCTAGGTCACTAGATGGTTGATGGCAGTAGTCAAATACAACGTATAGCTTGTGATACAAAGGTGCAGTACCTTAGACAGAGCTGAGGAGCATTCCTTATCTGTATTCACCAGAGCAAGCTTTGCCACTGTCATGTATGGCTCAATAGTGGGTATGAACATAGGATACTCCACTGCTGGAACAGCAGTCTTTTCCTGTTGTTGAGACATTAAAGCAGACAAGCAAGCCTTGTCATAGACTTGCAGTTGTCCTTGATTTGTCAAAATGAATAGCAATGTGTCGCTACTCTCCATTGCAGCAGCAGTCGGTAATAAAGCCATATCCACAAAGGAACCATTAAGTGTAAGGTCTGTACGGCTTATGCATTTCAGACTTTCTATTCTTGAAGACCAATCAAGGCTTAGAACCTGTGAATGAGAGAAGACAAATTAATTTAGTATTGCAAAGGGTTGAATTAGGTATGTCTTTAACTAACGTGATTCAACTAGTAAAGCACTATCCTTTTTGAGGCCTTAAGAACATATACATAACTACAAAGTGTAAAAATGCTCATCTGAATTCAAATCATACCGTCAGAACTTCTTGAGACCCAATTTCATCACCACCATAGACAAAGAGTTGGCCCCTATGATGTTTATGTAATTTATTTGCAGACCAGTGCAAAACAATTACGGGGAGTCTTCTATCACCTGATGATAACTGAAGCTTTGCAACATTGTTATCTCATTCCTCAGATTTCTGATCCTTGGTAGAGGCAGCAGTTGATAAGTCCCAAAACATTATATCACCATCTACATAGCCAACTGCAAGAATTGACCCATTATCAGATACCCAACAAAGAGAGCTTATCTCTTTCTCCACCTGGTTGCTTTCTTCTGTAGCATCAGAAACCTCATTTCTTGTGTCTTTTGGAGAACTAGTGACTGTTTTTTCCTTCACTTTCAGGTCCTTGGAACCTCTAACAAGAACAACTCGATCTTCTGAAGCATCCCAGAGAATGATCAACCCATTTTCATATGCAATCAGCAGCCTGCAAAAGGACTTATTCTTCAAAATTCATTAAGTAGAACAAATAACCAAAAGAATATGAAATGACATATCTTGTTTTATTTATGAATTCATCTTTAATCAATGTGAATGGTAATATGTATGCTGGTGCATGTTCATATATGGTCATAGCTTGTATATGCATGTGCATAGTGCATATATATGTTTGTGTGTGCCAACATATGTGTTCAACTTAGGAACTAGTTTGAACATCTCTTGCTACTTGAATTACTTGGCCAATAGTCAATCGTGCCCAAAATCTGATGAATGTCAAAGAGAGTCCATGACCACTCATAAAAACACTTAATTAACAACTATATGCCTAAACTGGCCGTCCAGCCCATCATGTCAATATGCTTTAGATCCAGAGAATTATAATCGTAAAAATTAACCATGTTTTGCCACTAGTAGAAAAGCATATGACAACCAAATGCATGCTTTGAAATGAAAAACCAGGATCTAGGCATAGTATTTTCACACGATTTATCTTGCCTGTTTCCCAAAGAGTTAGGTTGATGGAGAACTCCAACAACAGAAAGATGATCAGGCAATGACATTCCAGCTGCTTCTGCAAAATTAGAAAATAATTGAGCATTAGAATATAGTGGAGATTACACGACCACAGAAGCACCCCAGGGCGTCTGCATTACAAAAAAATATGGCATCAGCCAATTACAAGAACCTTGGCTATTACCATCTATGAAATTCGCAGTAATATAATATGGCAATAACTTAATTTTTCCATCATCAACATCATACTTCAGAACAGAGACGATTGCACATTCGCTTCCAATGTACCTGGCAGTAATGATAGTATAATTTTATATTCCATTGTCACGTTTTAACTTACATTTGCAACCAATGAATTTCGACCAAAAGATGCAGTACAGAAATAAATTTTACAAGTGCTGTACATGTAATTGGTGCCATAAATAACAGAGAAAGCAGTTATATTGCATTCCCACTGTAAAGAAGAAGCTATGCGCCTCTGTTCCAAATCCCAAACCTGCCAACATCAATAACCTATTAAACCAATCTACATTGTTACTATATAAATACAGTAAACACAACATTAAAGATAAGGATCAAGATGAAAAACTCTATGAATTGGATAGTGCCTAGTAGCAGATGTAGTATTTAATTACAAGTTTGGATGGCTTAAGAAAAAGCAATACCTGAATTTCATTTTCACTTGAGACACTGGCTAGAAAACCTTGATTTTGTAAGAACTGAAAAAATACACAATCTACCAACTTGTTAGAGGAACAAAAAAGAAGGAAAATTTCTGTCAAACTATACACAGATCAAGTCGACTTATGAGATCCCGGAAACATTCTGAACTTACTAACCTCTAAATTTTTAAAAGGCAACGGCTTTGGAGATGTAAGAAGCTCTTGGTTATTATCACCACCTATCACTTTTATCCTACCATCCCTGCGTTCAGGGCAGAATAAAGTCAACTTCAAGTTAAGAAACTCCTACCTTTTGCATGTAATGCCCACTTGTTAACTTTGCGTGACAATGCGCATACTGAGAGCTTCTGTGAAATTGGGAAATCGGCCTAAGGATCTTCTACTATTTTGAAGAAATGACACTTATGCACCACAAAATTTGGCTTTTGAATTTGAGCAGGAAAATTTGGAGGGCTCAGGAGAATATGTATAAAGTGAAGAAAATATACATCAACAACTGAAGTAATGAAAATCTTGTGACAAGTATAATACACATAGAACATCTATAACACAGAAAATACACATTATCTATAACATGATAGTTGTGAAAACTCACAGAGTTCCAATTGCCAACAGGCTTTGTGTGCGATCGAGAGCGAGAATGGATGCAGGGGATGGTATCCCATAGTGAACCGTGACGCGCGGATCCAAATCCGCTTGTCTGACCCTTGCCTGAACCACATTATGCCAATAAAGAATATCATAAAATGTTTCAGCTCAGCAATTTCAATACGCTTATACACAATCAATTTTGATCAACAGCGAGCCCTCTGTTTCTCCTTCAAATTTTTTCCTTTTCAGTGATGAAAATGTAAAATTCAGTTAGTATTCAAATTCGATGAGCCTCCACTGTAGCGCGTCAATGATTTTCACACCAAAACAATCATAGATAAATTCAAACATTCATAAATTCAATCATTTTTTAGCAAAATGAAATGCGATTAAGAAAAAGAAACTCAAAAACAAATTAGCAATGAGAAAGCAATGCAGAGAGTACCCGAGGATGTGAAGCTGCTTGTGGCGATGACTTGTTGAAGAGCTTAGCAAACATAGTGATTCAACGACGAGGTTTGGTGGAGCCTCAGCTATCTGTATTTCTTCCTCTGCTTTTGCCTGACGAAAAAATAAATAAATAAAAGTTGTGGGTTCGGTTTCTTGGTTTCGGCGATGACGGCGCGCCAATAGAGGATGTTTATTGGACGGTGGAGGAGGGGTCGCTGACCGTCGGATGCTTTAAGATTCTGGCTTGATTGATTTCAGATGAAGGCGTTTGCATGACTCTGTCTACCTTTTAGCGTCCGTCCTAATAACGACGGGATAATGACATAACTACTTTCTCTCTTATATTTTTTCCATATCTTTTGTATTATCCTAATTTACAAATTATATCAGCTAATTATGAGTATTTTTTGGTACGATAAATAGTCTAATCATAACCATTAAATTTGTCATATCAGCTAATCATAACCATTAAAAAAAATTTCAATAATGATTTTTGAGTTTATTTTTCTGAACATGATACGCGCACCCTAATAATTTATGAGTAAGTCGTGGTCATGCTTAAGTTTTGTCACCGACTAATATGATGAATTTAATCTATTTTAAAACTTGGGATTACGCAAATGCAAGTATGATAGATTTTTTGTACAATTCCTACTCAGTATGGACGCATTTAGATCAACATGCTTACTCTTTTTTCATTATAGTATAATATAATCAATAATTCAAATGAAGAAAGTACATCTCACCAAAAAGACAAAAACAAAAAAGAAATCTTATCAAGCTACTAGTGAGATACGATCCACACACAATACGTGGTGACTAGTAAAATTATCTCTTACAGAAATTACTAGAATATGTTAGAATATGTTTTTCGGGTCTATTGCCTTGAAGTCTAAATTCTGAAAAACAAAGTTTACAGAAGAACCTCTGGAAGTTTACAAAGTAGCCCCTCGGTAATTGGTACTTGAATCTGGAAGGATCCATATTAATACACATATTGAGACTTAAAAGTAGCATAAATCTTCACAACTATGAAGACTCATTTCCTAGACATTAAACTTTGCCCCTGCATCAATCAAATCAAAGTACGTCGTCAATTGGAAGGCCCTTCTTTACAAGGAAATCATACACATCAATAAGCATGTGCGGGAAGAAGGAAATAAGCACATCAAATATTTGCTCCCGTGTCTGCAAAAATAAAAATATAAAAATATTAGTAGACATTAATATATTATTTTATTATTTAAAAAAAAACACAAACAAACAAATCAAATTATAGGTTTATGTTAATACCATAAGTTTCATCCCTTTTTCATCATCTTTCTGCAATGATTGAACAATAACAATTAATATTATACAAATAATTTAAACAAACTAATTGCATTATACAAAGTAATATTCGTATACCATATATTGCTTGAAGGCCTTCCGGATACAACCATTCACATCCGAAATGGCATTTGCAGAATACAGGAATG